TTCAACATCAACACATAAAGGAACACTTCATCCTTCAGTTTATCACACAGAGTCATTCTGTACCTCGCTGTCTGCAAACTCGCAGTACTGCAGGTTGTTTTGGCCGTTCAGGGTCCGGACGCAGGCGTAGGTGTTGTTGAAGGCGTCTTCACACACGCAGTCTGGGAAACATTCCTAAAGAAAATATAAAGCGCTGAGTCAGTGCTGCAACGAAGAAATATTGTCATTTTCTGATTAAAGCCCTGAAGTTTTGACCCGTAGTTCCACTACAGAGTGACGTCTGTCTGACATCAAGGTAAAGCGGTGAAAATATTCTAAATATAACGTTCACTTAAAGTGATATAGATTCTTTTAGGAGTCTAAAATACGTCCACAGCAGAACATTGCTTTATGTACATTACTCTACTGTGGTGAACCACTGACTGTGGAGAAGAACCTCAAACAACCACACTTCTAAACATCACTACTGTCCCTTTAAGTTAGTTTACAAAGAGGACAGACGGGTTGTTCTCTCTCTCAGGACTCTGACGTTCTTTGAGCCCGTTAAAAGTTTTGTGGTGTGATGAGGTGACAGTTTACACATTGTTGTCGATGACTGAAACAGGATTTACAAGTTCATTTGAAAAGGCGCTAAATCTGGTGCAAAGCATCTCTTCTATTTTTTGAGATGTATGTATTTTTGTACATAGTCCCTGATGTAAATGAACTGAATAAACTAAACTAAGCTTAATTAATAGTTCAACCTATTGTCGGCACAGTCGGTTCTTGTGGTTGATACTCACGGACAGTCCGGGGCCCAGTTTGGGACAAGAAGGATCGGACGTTGGATGTCCCTCTCCGGTGTATTCAACAAGGAAAAAGGGACGAGTGGTGCCGTTACGCAGAGACGGGGCCTGACAGGAAGAGAGAAGATAAGGTATGAAGATTGAGGGAAAAGGAACATTTAGGAGAAGATTTAAAGAAGCAGCTGACCTAATTACTTATCTATTCATTAAATGACATTTTATTGAAGGAATTAATAAAATATGAAACAATAAAAAGAAGCAGCTGACCATCTGCGAGAGGAAAGACTGTCCGTCCACGTTCACAGATGACAGGTTGGTACCAGAGATGTCCAGAATGGTGGGAGCCAGGTCGATATTCAACACCGGAGCCTGAAGGAGGTCATTAAAGAACCCAATGAACCTCAGGATCAACAGCTTTGTTTGTAATGTATGGGGGTGGGTGTGTGTGTATATGTGTGTGTGTGTGTGTGTGTGTGTGTGTGTGTGTCCGACCTGCAGCATCTGGTTGGGTTTTATTCCCGGACCGCGGACCATGAGCGGGACCCTGATGTCAAACTCATACAGCTGCCTCTTATCGATGGGCAGAGAGAACTGACCTGTGAACGGTGAGGTCATGGGGGGTGGGGGGGGGGTGTTAATGACAGACAGGAAGTAGGTCGTATTAAATGACGTGAGGACCAGCGGAGGGACTCAGACCCGTGTGGTAGCCGTTGTCAGAGGTGTAGAAGATGTAGGTGTTGTCCAGTTCTTTCATGCTGTCCAGTTTCTTCACCAGCAGCTCCACCATGTCGTCCACTGACAGCAGCGTCTGCCACCTGCATTTACAGGATTTAAAGTTTGAATGAAGTAGACAAACTGGAAGCTAGTGTCCAATAAAGAACCTCTTCCGTACCTCTTCCTGTAGGCGCTGTCCAGATAGTTGAGGGAGCTTTCTGGCATCGGGTTCACAGGCTGACGCAGCAGCCAGTGTTTGTCCTGAAACACACAAATACAGATTATAATATAATAAAGACTAGTTATCATGTTTAAAGCTACTACAAGGAACTTTCATTCTGTGTTGATTCTGTCGCCCCCTGTGGACTAAAGTGGTAGTGTTTCTGAGCCCCAGAGTCTCTTTAGAGAACCTCTCATTTTACTGCAGCAGGGTCTGACAGTCTGACCCTCTCAGTCCTGGTTCTGGTTCTCCCGTGCCTCCCTTCCCTCCAGCGGGTCCAGCAATACGTCCTGGGTCTCCAGCAGCGTGGTGTCCCTCCGGAGCTCCGGATCCGTCCGCGGTGGACCGGTCTCTGCTGGAGGATCTGGGTCTGTCCGCGGTGGACCGGTCTCTGCTGGAGGATCTGGGTCTGTCCGCGGTGGACTGGTCTCTGCTGGAGGATCTGGGTCTGTCCGCGGTGGACCGGTCTCTGCTAGAGGATCTGGGTCTGTCCACGGTGGACCGGTCTCTGCTGGAGGATCTGGGTCTGTCCACGGTAGACCGGTCTCTGCTGGAGTCTGAGCTGAAGGAGGTTCTGGTGAACCTGCATGAGTTCATCTGGTTTCACCAGAATCCGACCCGGTGGCTCCGATGACGAGCATTAAGAATAACTCTATAGAAACAGACCATCTTCTCTCTGATGGTCTCTTTACTGATGGAGGTCTTATAGAGGATCAGGACTACACTGAGACTGGTTCATATAGAGGATCAGGACTACACGCAGACTGGTTCATATAGAGGATCAGGACTACACGGAGACTGGTTCAGGACCAGTTTAAAGCTCCTCACAGTAACTTTAAATAAAGTTTCGTGTTAACGTGGACACACCTTGCCTAGCTTGTCAAAGCTCCCGTCTCGGGGGGCTTTAACGTCGCTGAACTCCTTCTGGTACTGAGGTGCTGCCGTCCAGGGGGAGTGAGGAGCTGGAGGAGACAACATGAGGAAGAACGGATGCTGGGGGCTCCTGTCCTCCAGGAAGTGTAGGGACCGGTTCGTCTGGATCGAGAAAAGGAATAAAACCGAGACTGAACACAAGAATGTTGTAGAAATGGGAAACAGATTGGGAGGCAGGGAGGGCTGAGCTGCATCTGTGAGTCATCATCACCACAGGATTTGTAACAGCTGGTCAAACGCTGCGAAACACATTCTTTTACATGTGACTGATGCTCCAAAGTCCCACACAGGGTTAAATCTGTCCTTACTTTGGATAATTAACTCGTTAATTAAATTGTGGTTTGGTTTTAGTTTACTCCAACTGTCCTCATAAAAAATAAATCCTTTGTTGACAAATAGATTAGTTGATCTATTGAATGTTGAATCTCACAAAAGCACCACTTTAAATCTTGTGTTTACTTTCTTGGAAATAAGTCATGAAGCATAAAATAAATCTGTGAATTTAGTTGAAATCTACAGACGTAAAAAATAAATGTTTTCTTTCCTCTAGTCTGAAAGAAGATGTTATATGAAAAATAGACCAAAATCACTAAATTGACCGGAGCATGAAAAACACTATTTCTATCGGTTAGTGTCTCCTCTTGAACTAAGATGGTGAACATTGTAAACAATATTCCTGCTAAACATTCAGCTCAAAGCTCCAACGTACAGCCTCACGGAGCTGCTGACGCGACCGTCGCCGTCCTTGCGGCTGATAAGAGTTCAAACATCACTGCGGTTCAGCTGTCATAAACTCTATTTACAGCTCGTTGAGTCAGCTGATGAGGATGAAATGCAGCAGCATGAAACAGACGACTTCATTTAAATAATAAAAACACAAACGTGTTCATTCAAACAGTAAGATATAAATGTAAATATTTAAACAGCATTAAATCCATCATTATTATCCTGTTTTCCTTCATTGCTCACCCTCTAGCTGTTGATGATTAACCGCTCACACTCACACACAAAGAATGTTGTGTTTCTGTAAAATCAGCTGATTCAGACAGTTTGGAGGTGAACGTTCTTATTTCTTCTCATAAACCTTCACATAAAAACTAACCCTGTGGACGCCCCACTGCAGGTTAAATACTGCTGATCACGGTCTTTGGTGAAAGCAGACTTACGATGAGGTCGGTGAGGTAGTCCGACTCATAACTGTCTCCGTGCTTCTGCTCTTTGCCGTTGACTGACAGCGTGTAGTTGTAGTACTGAGAGTTCCCAACCTGTAACGTACAAGAGGCAGAAGAGAGAGAATATGAGAGAGTTAGGGAGAGTGAGAATGTGTGAGAGAGTGAGAATGTGTGAGAGAGAGCGTAAGAGAGAATGTGAGTGAGAGTGATTGTAAAAGAGTGAGAGAGTGAGTGTAAGAGAGTGAGAGAGTGTAAGAGAGTGAGAGAGAAAGTGTAAGAGAGAGTGAGCGTGTGAGTGAGCAAGTGAGTGTGAGAGTGAGCGTGTGAGTGAGCGAGTGAGCGTGTGAGTGAGCGAGTGAGCGTGAGAGTGAGCGAGTGAGCATGAGAGTGTGAGCGTGAGAGTGAGCGTGCGAGTGTGAGAGTGAGCGTGTGAGTGTGAGAGTGAGCGTGTGAGCGAGTGAGCGAGTGTGAGAGTGAGCGAGTGAGTGTGAGAGTGAGTGTGAGCAGGTGAGTGAGCGAGTGTGAGCAGGTGAGTGAGCGAGTGTGAGAGTGAGTGTGAGCAGGTGAGTGAGCGAGTGTGAGAGTGAGCGAGTGAGTGAGTGCGAGAGTGAGTGTGAGTGTGAGAGTGAGCAGGTGAGTGAGCGAGCGTGAGAGCGAGCGAGCGTGTCAGGGAGAGAGCGAGAGCGTGTCAGGGAGTGAGCGTGAGCGTGTGAGGGAGTGAGCGTGAGCGTGTGAGGGAGTGAGCGTGAGTGTGAGCAGGTGAGTGAGCGAGTGTGAGAGTGAGCGAGTGAGTGAGTGTGAGAGTGAGTGAGTGTGAGTGTGAGAGTGAGCAGGTGAGTGAGCGAGCGTGAGAGCGAGCGCGTGTCAGGGAGAGAGCGAGAGCGTGTCAGGGAGTGAGCGTGAGCGTGTGAGGGAGTGAGCGTGAGAGTGAGCGTGTGAGGGAGTGAGCGTGAGAGTGAGCGTGTGAGGGAGTGAGCGTGAGAGTGAGCGTGTGAGGGAGTGAGCGTGAGAGCGTGAGAGAGTGAGTGTGTGAGCGTGAGAGCGTGAGAGAGTGAGTGTGTGAGGGAGTGAGCGTGAGAGAGTGAGCGTGTGAGTGAGCGTGTGAGCGTGTGAGTGTGAGCGAGTGAGTGTGAGCGAGTGAGCGAGCATGTGAGCGAGCGAGCGTGAGAGCGAGCGAGCGTGAGCGTGTGAGGGTGTGAGGG